TAGGGTTTGACTGAGAATAGTTCTGATTGTAGTTTGAAGGGCCCCAATTTTGTGAGTACTGAGAGCCGCCGCGTGAGTGCGGAGGGCGCGGTGGGGGCAGAGGGTTTTGGCTTGGCGGTGGAGGTGGAGGAGGGTGAAACGGCCGATATGAAGCCATTAATTTCAAATTAGGGTGAAGTTACACTCCGATTTCAGGATTTTACGGGCCGTGCAACAAAGCCCTTGGAGCTGGAAAAAGGGGGAGAGAGTTAAAATCAACGCCGAAGCAAAGAATCTAGTAAATTTCCGAATGCGAGAACCACGAATTCCTTGAACAGATACTGAATTGGGTTTCAGACTTGCTTTCCGATCAGATTCAGCATAACCTAATCGAACACTGAAGAACAAGCGATGTGAGTTCTTGCTTGAATTGCGTCCATTTTCTTCCAACAAAAAAATAAGGTCACAAATCGAGAGGCACAGAAAGTAAATTCAGACTGAAGAAAGAAAGAATCGATTTTGACGTATGGGCATGAGATCCAACCTCAAATGAAAACCCAATTCCCAAAAGGCAAGAACCCTAGCGACCAGATTGACAAGTCGAATCAATAATAGCTTAGGAGGCTCTCAATTGATATGCCGTCTTCTTGAAACATGCACGTCTGCGAGCAGGGTGTGGATTGTGCGGGGTTTTGTGGAGTAAAAGAAAGAAACTTTGCAGGCGCTCGGGCTTATAAGCAGCGGTCGGTCGGCAGGTCTGTGATTATGTCATCTGAGACATTCCATTGCAGTAAAAAAAATGAGAGGACAGTGAATGACATTTGACCATATTGGAAAATACTAGGAAAAACACATGTTGATTTTTAGCTATTTTCACATTGTGAATGTATGGGATCTTTGCTATTTGTCCTGTGTTTACAGGTTACTTGTATCAACATAGATTGACGAGGGGTTTAGCGCAGTGACGCATACCTCGCTCGGGATATCCTATATTTCGAGTTTGAGTCACTAGAAGGGGAATTGAGGAACCAGTATTAATCTTCTTGTGTGTGTACAAAAAAAGAATTATAGATTTAGATAATTAATAATCCTTTTTTTTTTTTAAGATTTACCTTACAAGTTCAACAAAATTGATAGTTCTAAGGGTGTGTTTAGATATTCTTATTTTGGGTTTTAGTTAATTAGTTTTTTTCATTGAGCAGAATTAATTTTGAAAAGTTGGTTGATTTAATTGTGAGTGGAATTCTGTGTTTGTATTAAAATAACTAGTGCGTATCCCGTGCGATGCACGGGTAAACAATATGACTTTTTCATAGCATGTAAAATTGTATTATCACACGTGCATGATAAATCTACATTTTAAGTTCATACTTTGTGTTTTCTAATGGAACAACATCCTTCAGTTTAGGGATCATATGCATTTAATATGTCAATATCTAGATATCGGCAATTTAAATTTTGAGTTTGAAGATAACCCGAATCTATGATTGCAAAATATCATTTAATAATTAAATCAACCGCAGCTTTAGGATTTGGTATTTTGAAATTTAGAAAAAAATAAAATCATTAATTTATGGGAGATATGTGATAAATTTATCTAAATCTTGTATACATCACGTCTAACAATTAAAGCAATGTAAACATGGTGATTAAGATATTTTGAAATCTAATTTAAACAAAGACCGTAAAAATTTGATTTGGTATTTTGATATAAAAAAAAAAAAAAATCATTAATGTAGGGGATGATATGTGATAAATCTATCTAATATTGGATACAACACGTTTTACAATTAAAGCAATTTAAATATGAAGATTATTCTTATTTCGAATCTCTGATTTAAACAATGACCATAAATTTTTGAATGTTTCAAAATTAGAGACGTGCATTATTTTTCATTATAAATAATTGTCAAACAAAATAATTGAATCAGCCGCAACTTTAATCCGTCTGTGTGTGTGTAAAATATATATATATATATATATATAGATTTAGATAATTAATAATCCTTTTTTTTTAAGATTTACCTTACAAGTTCAACAAAATTGATAGTTCTAAAGGTGTGTTTAGATATTTTTTTTATTTTGGGTTTTGGTTAATTGTTTTTTTTGGTTGAGCAGAATTAATTTTGAAAAGTTGGTTGATTTAATTGTGAGTGGAATTCTGTGTTTGTATTAAAATAATATTTAAAATAAAATTATTAAAGTTGTTTTGATGTAAAAGTGAGAGAGATGTGATTGAAAGTGATATATAATTAAAATCAGTTGAGTGGATGAATATTGAATTAATGTGACATTAGCCAGCAAATTCCTTTGGCGGAATTGATTATACGATGTTGCTTTTATAATTTGGAATGAAGCTCCGATGATGAACAAGTATTGCTTTCAATCGGTTGACAACACCTTACGGGCTTTAATGCAAGTCGTGGATCCATCAAGGAAAAATCTCTCATTTGGCGGCAGATCCATTGTATGTAGTGGGGATTTTAGACATATACTTCTCATTGTCCCTAAAGGAAAACGAATTGACATAGTGAATTCGACGATCAATTCATCCAAGTTGTGGTGAGATTGTACCTATCAAAGACTGGCTCGAAATATGAGGCTTCGAAGCCTTTCTGAGAGTGATGAGTACGATAAGCTAAAGTGCTTCTCGGAATGGCTTGCGAGCCTTGGAGATAAAGCACTTGGTGGATCGAACAACGGATGTGCCGATATCGACATTTCCGATGATACTATTCTGAAATCACAAAGGGATCATGTTGCTACTATCGTTGAGAGTACCTACCCAATTTTCTGGAGTTCTTAGGGACGACCTTAGCTATATGAAGGACAAAGCGATATTCGCTCCACATTTGATGTGGTTGATTCCGTTACGAGTAAATGAACTCATTGCACTTTTTTTAGGGAAGGGCATATATGTGTTCGGACACCGCTTGCAAGTTAGATATTGGATATGACTATCTTCAAGATCTTCGTACTTTTGAATTTCTAAATGGGATTAAGTGATAGGGACTTTCGAAACATAAATTGCACTTGAAGGTCGACACTCTAATAATGCTGCTGAGGAACACTGATCTTTTAATGGTGTTGTACAATAGAACGCATTTGGCTATCACTAAGCTCAACAGTCATATCCTTGAA